TAAAAGAGACATCAATAAAAAATAAGGTTGGTATATTTTTCTTTGCAAAATAATGTTGTTTCTGTATGAAAAAAGTAAGAAATGTAGTGAATAATCAGATAAACAATATTAGTCCAATTATGATTAAAACATTAATTTAACAGTTTTCATTACAGTGTTTCACAAGAAACAAATATATGTCAATCTATTTATGTAAAATAAACAAGGTTTACAATTAAAACATAGCATAATTATAAAATAAGATTAACACACAGCCAGTTTGGTCTAGTGGTTAAAGTATCAACCTAGGAAGTGGGAGATGGTGAATTCTAGTCCCACTTTAGCAATTAAAACAGGTTAGATGACTTTGAGCCAGTCACTCTTTTCAGCCCAACCTACCTCACAAGGTGGTTGTTGTGTGGAAAATAGGGGGAGGATATAATATTTCTGGCACTAGAAGTTTTATATGGGATAGGTAGTCCAAAAATACCATGTTTTAACTAGCTAACAGAGTTAGTTAGTTAGTTAGTTAGTTAGTTAGTTAGTTTATTGGACTTGTATGCCGCCCTATTCCCAGGGGGACTCAGGGGTCAAGTCCAAAAATGGCAGTGGTAAGCCTACAAACAACCTTATCTACTTCTTTGTGAATCACTGGCTCAAAAATCTCCCAGCTACCACTACAAGGCACTACCTTTGTTATCTCATGAGATCTGTATCCATGTGGCATCCAATTCAGAGCAGCTGTGAATGATTTCATACATAAAATCATCAGAGAGACATGTTATTCTTGTCTAGTGGGTGTTTCTATCAGATAACTTGTAATTCCTTGGGCCAAGCAAATGTCAGATCTTATTGTAATAAAATGTCTGTGTGTCATGATATTTTTATGTTTCTGAGTCACAAGGGTACCCTCAGCCATGGAAGCTCACTGTCTGACTTTGGAACCACCACACTCTCTTGTTCCAACCTTCCTTACACAATAGTTGTGGGAGGAAATGGGAGGCAGTAGTGCCTTCAGTTTGTGAACAAAGGTTGGAATATAAATTTAATAAACATTAAACATGTGAAGTAATTGAGTTACACTTTTGAAAAACAGTAAAAAAACAAAATACTATCCATTGCAATAGATTTAACACTACTTTATTTGCATCTTTTTAGATGGAGGAAGTTCAATGGGTTGACAGTTCCAGTACAATCTTTCTAAAGAAAATTAATATTCACATTTTACCTGTATGATTGATTTTTGTTGTTGTTGTTGTTGTTTGTTGTTCTCAGATTTCTAGTGCTCTCTGCACATTGCTTTACCCCGGTCTCATTCTGATTGACTATGGACATTTTCAGTATCTTTTTTTTTGCAATACATGGATATTGTGGAATAAATCTGTTGCTGTGTGGGTAAGAAAAGGGGAGGGAAGAGGGAAGTCAAAGCAACATGTGGCACAACTAGGGGGAAAGCTATATTTTTCTGCCCCATTTTATTATTTTAAGACATGAAGATTCTTTTCATGCCATCTCAGAATTATGCTGTGGCATCCAGTAGGTTTTGGTGGCAGTGGACGACCAACAGAATCCTGTTACAGTTGCATATTCTTCATTAGCAAGCTCTTTACAGATTGTTGTCCTTAACAGAACAAACATATATAATTCTGTGAGTCTTGGTCTTGCTTTGTGGGGAGTGCTGTTTCTCTCTTATGACTTGGACCTTTTGGGCTCTGTAGCATTTTGTTTTGCTATAAACTACAAACAAATGGAGCTCTACCATGCTTTGCCCTTCTTCTGCTACCTGCTGGGAAAGTGCTTCAAGAAAGGCCTGTTGGGCAAAGGGTGAGTATCTTTACAAGCTGACATCCAAAAAAAAAATGGTCCTGGAATGCACTTAGGCTGTTTTGCCTTGGGAATTTGTGCATGTCATTCATTTCTTGATTAGCTTTTGCAGTAGGGATTCATGTCATTATCATCCCTCTTCCCCCAGAGAAGCATGTTTCTCCTAAGTCATTAAATAACATACTAAATAGTTTTAAGAGTGTCTATAGTGTATCAAAATACACACAACTATCTTTTCTCTTCAACACCTGTCATTAGTTAAGCACAGGTCACAAATGTACACCCATATTTAGAAGATAAGAGTTTAGAATGTTTTTCTTCTTCCTGGGGGTGGCTGGGAGAGCATATTTAACAGTTTTCTTAACTTTTCTAACAGGTTTCCTGCTTGGAAAAGTAAACTTTAAGTTTGAAAGTACTGTACATAAAAATCATCTTTCTTTGAGGCTTGATTTCCCCCCCCCTTTTTTTTTCTTACAGGTTATGGCTGTTGATGAAACTGTCTTTTATTGTCATTCTTTCTTTTGCAATCTGCTGGCTCCCATTTTGTACAGACATTGAACAAATTTTGCAAGTACTCAGAAGGCTCTTTCCTGTAGATCGAGGTTTGTTTGAGGTATGCCTCATGTTCCCCCTCCCAAGCTTCTTGTAAATGTTTTATATTTTTAGCTCCCTTGAGAAACCTTCACTTTGACCCTTAGGGATTTCATGTGGAAGATACACCAGAAGGCTAGTAATATGATCTGGCTTCTCTGACTGTCATTTCTTGCCAGTTATTTAATCCAGCATTTAACCCCTAGCTCAGCTGGCATCTTCTAGGATATTATACAAATAGAATTAATCCCATCGTCAGATCTATAGTTCAGGCATACATTTTTCAAATATATTCCACAATAATAAACAATGTCTTTGCACAATCTAGAGGTTTTAAGAAATAATTCAATATGAAAAAAATGAATTCAATGTTTTTTTTTTTTAAAAAATCTTCCAAAATAGAGATTGGATTGATGCTCAAATTTGTATGGTTTAAATTTATCCTGGTGGAAAATTTACAGTTTGCTTGGCTAAGGTAAAGCCTTAAGATGTTGACCATAAACTGGATGGTTTTATTGATGGTATTACTTTATTAATTTGTTTGCACCAGACAGAGAAATAGTGATACACTTTGCAGCAGACTCGCATCTGAAAATCATTACGTACAGCAGTGGTGATGGCACATCGTAAGAAACACTTAGGATCTTATTCCCCAGTCATAAACTGACTGAAATGTTACACGATGAAATAGAAATAGAAATGTGACATGAAGAATAGAAATTCATAAGTCAAAGGACTGTCAAGTAGTTTGTTTTTCTGACTGTTAATCTCACTTCATGCTTTAAAAACGAAAGAACATATTGTAGATTTTAATGAAATGGGTCTGTATGATTTAAAAACTTCACACAGTTTATTCAGTGTTAAGATTTTTAGAGCTGGCACAGGAGTGGCTGATTGGGATATTAATCTGGGTAAACTAAGAAACTGTCTACTAAGCAATGCACAGTAAGGTTATCCTGGGGTGCCTATGACAGGTTCCTTGAATTGATTCCCATTTACAGACATGTCTTCAGTGCTGATAATTGTAAGACTTCACTGGCTATTAAGCTGGCACCTTTTATGTTGGTGGTGCTGCCAGGCACTTGTCACCTTCAGCAAATTTGCAATGTGTGTTCTGTATTCTTGTAAGAGAACAAGGAGATTGTTCAGTTGTTTGTAGTAGCTTTCTTGCTGTTATGTCTACACAGCTGTGATTCAAGCAGCTGTTTAGGGATGAGTTTCATGAGTATGCTAGCTGTTTGGTTACAAATTTAATTTGGAAAGTGATCCTAGCACAACTGCTAATGTCTTTAGACTTTGTGATTTATTAGGGGTTAACTCTGTCATTGCTGGCAGCTAGCAAGTGGTGCTAAATATGTACTAGTAAGAATGAGGCAGAATGTAATGTGGCTTCAAATTTGAAAAAAATGTTTCATGCTGCTTTTTAAAATATGGATATTACATAGTTATAGGTAGTTTTGTAGCATTGACGGTCTGTGGTCTCCTCAAAAATCTATGATTTTATGAGAAGGCTACACAGATACATTTAATTTCAAGTTGATTATTTCTGCCATTCCATGTATATAAAATTATGTTTTACCTTCAAAATAATGCAATACATTAAATATATTTTCAGGATAAAGTAGCCAATATTTGGTGCGCTGTAAGCATTCTTTTCAAAATAAAGACAATCCTGACAAAAGATACACAACTTAAATTAAGGTATGTAAATATCAAACTCCCCAAGCAACTTCCTTTTATGGTTTTAGCAAAAGATGCATATAAAAGAACTAATTTAGAATTATTTAGATTTAGAATTATTCATGGTATATAGAACTATATAAAATGGCCTTAATAAAAATATTATTTCAACATTTTGTGGAGCTGTTCTCTGCTTGTTGGTTTATCATTTGTGATTGAGTCGGACTCAGCTGAATCAATAACATCATAATTATTATGAAAGGAATCTTATTTCTCTTCAGTAACTATAAAAACTGAGCAATACCAAAGTATTCCTAAACAATTCTCAACTGATTCTTGATTCAGAATTAATCTGGTTATTGAAATCAATGGTTTTAATATGATATTACTTTATTTTTAGTTTTGCTTTAACATTCCTGACTGTACTTCCCAGTTGCATGAAACTGACTCTGCAACCTTCGCTCAGAGGATTTAAATATGGCTTGGTAAGTGTATAATAACACATTTAAACATAAGAATTCATAGCTTTGTAATATGTAATAATCTCTTTTCTTTATCTCTGTTATAGTTGATAGGGATGTAGAAAGGGGAAAAGAACAATTCCAATCAGTGATTCCCTATAAACAATCAGTTGGGCTAAATGCTGCTGACTTCTTCATTCTTAACTCCCCCTTTCCTGCTTCATTTGATCATGGAATCTAGCTTGGAGACCAGAGATCAGAGAATCTCAAGAACTCCACAGTTCAACTCTGTGAACCACATATATTCTCTTCTGTTGGAATTAGCTTTTTTCCTAACAATTCTTTAAGGATCTTCAACTATGGTCTCTAATCTGTCATCAACTGCATGCACAAAGTTAGGAGATATTTTACTCCATTGACATCATTATAATAGTCTGTTTATAATGTCCAAGGAGTTATTTGGCAATAAAATAATCAATGTTAACCTCATTCACAACATCTCATTGAACAGTAAACATGGCTAAAGAACAGTAAACATGATTTAAATGATGTGAATGGGAAACTTGCCACAGCGAACTTGTCACGGCCAGCTTGCTGCAGCCAACTCTTCATGGACAACTCACTGCAGGACATCTCGCCATGGAACAACTCGCCGTGGGACAATTTAACTGTTCTATTTAATTATTTAAAATAAATAAAAAATATTTTAATTTTTGCCATTCACATTTCATTCTGTCCCTCCTCTTGCATCCTTTCTTCAATGATTCTATTCCACCATTTCTTTGGTATTAGTGTAACTCTTGTCCAGCACTGGTCCTGTAGCAAGATGGCCATAGTGAATTGTCCTGCAGCAAGTTAGCTGTGGTGAGTTAGCCGTGGTGAGTTGGCCATGACAAGTTGCCCGTGGGCAAATTGTCATTGATCCTAAATGATAGGCTTTTGCACTGTTAATGGTCTTTGACAATGGACTTCTACCTGCAATATTTGTTCAGAACACTGAAAAACCTAAAGGTGTAATAAAAACTGATAATAAATTTTTTCAGCCCAATTTAGCATTTCAGATCAGAGGGGGAAAGTAGAGCTCTACCATACCAGAAACCTATTTTAAATCCATCTCAATTTGTCTAGATCATTTAAGTTTTACATCAATGATTTGTCAGTTATGTTGATTTGTTTAGATGCCCTGGTGAGTCACTTACCTAGTTGATGGTTCGTGCTTTCATCAACAACTAATCAGCTAATAATCTAGGTACACGTGCTACTAATTTAAAGCTTTTTATCATATTGCGAGCCTTGGTCAAGTAGCCATATTTTATGGTATAAATAAAAAGCTTTTGGTAATAAAAGTGTGAAACTGATTAGCCATGACTAATAGCACAAAAATAATCTACATAGTCCTGTCAATATAAGTAAAAGCAGATCTTGTCTAGCATTTAACATTCTACATTTTCTTCTTCAAAGGTTTGCTGTTCATTGTCTTTCTTCCTCTTCTCATTCCAAGTGCATGAAAAATCTGTTCTTCTTGTTTCAGCGTAAGTAATATTTTATATTTTAAAATACTTTAATTATTATATAAAACCACTTCACACTGGTATCTGGAAATATGTGTGAGGAAAACTATAGTGCTGACAAAATGTTTTAGAATAAGATTCAAGCTCCCACAGCAATACATTTACAAAACTTGTGAGTTGTGTGTCCATGAATTTCTGCTCTCCCAATGTAATAGAATCCAGAAAGTGAAATCATGGACTTTTCTTAGGTCCCAGAATACTGAGTATGCATTGAAGCTGAAGCTGATCAGCAATGACCATGCAGGCAGATTCTTTTACTGCAGAGGTATCAAGGACATGAAGTATTGCTTATTCCTATAGAAAGATCCATTATTTAGAGCATTAATCCATTTATTTTGTTGTCCTAATATGCTTTTATGATTATCAGGGAAGCAGCAGCTGAAAAGGTGCTGGGTTTCTTAAACAATGCTTTTGAGCTTATATTTTTGTTTTCCCCTTAGACCAGTCTGTTTAGTAATACATGAAATTCCTTTTATATCTACGTGGTTTCTTCTAGTTTCAACTTTCAGGTGAGTTTGAATGTTATTTCTAAACAATTCTTCATACTTTGAGAAGACATTTTAAGATTTATTTTACATGGTAATTTTTTTGGCTTGTATAACCTTGCTAGAATTCACAGTAATTCATGTTTCCCTTTACAGCATGCTTCCTCTTCTATTAAAGGATGGCCTTCTTTTGTCTTACATTGTCACAATGTTGGCTTTCCTCCTGGTGTGTACAACTTCTTTTTCAATATTTGAAAAAACAGCTGAGGAAGATCTGCAGTTAAAAAAACTTTCCAGTTACCTAAGGAAATACGCTACTTGGCTTAAGACATTTTCAAAAGTTATGAAGAGTTTAGTAAGTAACTTACAAAAATATATTATGTGCACTAATTTTACTAAGAGCATATTCATGCTTTGCATGTTTTTCTTACCAAAGCACAAATCATTATATTAAGTTGCCAAACTTCCTCAGTTAAACTATTGAATTACATTATTCAGTAATGCTGTTATCAAACAATTGCTAGAATATTTCAGCATTACTTATAAGTAGCATCTAACATCTTATAATTATAATTCTTCAAGTTGACTAATAAAATAAATTCTTTCATCCCTGTGCCCATGTTAGTAATGCAGTGAGCACTTTATATATGTTAATAATAATAGAATTATTTTTCTACTTGAAAAATGTGTGTATTTAATGGTATTTTATTAGCATTAACCCTGGCAACTGGTAAATATGATGTTATGCTGCGGCGGCATTGAATTCATTGAAATGTTTATTTATTAAATTTATATGCCACCCAATTTCCTATGTAAGGGTGATAAAACAACACCCAGTGAAACCACTTATAGGGCAAAATTGTAGTAACCATCATGCCTTTTCTCTTCAACATTCAGTTTTTCATCTCAGTAACTCTGATGAGCATCCTGACTTTAATGAGTGCCACAGTGGAACCTCCAAAGCATCTACCAGATTTATTTCCAGTAGCTGTGTCTGTTGTATCCTGCTTACACTTTCTCTTTTTCTTGCTGTATTTTAATATCATTGCAATGTGGGAATCAAAAGATGGTCGAAACCAGAAAAAAATAAATTAATTTCAAGTGCCAACTTGAAAAATTAATACCTCTTACTTGGAACATACCATTTATGTTTCTATAGAGCTTTGCCTTAAAGCATTCTATAATGAAAGGCAATTCTTTTTGTCATTTCATGTATTTTCTAAGAAAAGCCAGATGAAAATATTTACATGTTAATATGTGCTGTTCACAAGAGACTTGTGCTTACTCCTCTTTTCAGTGCAGTAAAAAAAGAACCCTTGACATTTGATAGTAAGTACAAAATAAATCCAGAAAATAAGAAGCATCTCAACAATCTGTGCAAGTTTATTTTAAACAGATATAATACCCCAATAATTTAATAATGTTATGATTGGTTTAATGTACTTCCCAAAATAAAACATGTTGACGTTACTGATTGTATGTTACAGCAATTACTCATGTCTATTGCTACTAAGTGCTATCTCTTACAGTGTATTTGATTACATATAATAAATTGCCTTATACTAAATTTCCCATATCCTCTCTATTATAAGCTTAAAATCATCAAGGTCAAGTGTCAAGTGATTCAGTATCATCGTTCATCCTTTCCTGACAGTCTTATTTCAGTATTAACCTCAATAATATCTGAAGGCCATAACAGGAATTACAATGTATAAAAGGTTCCCCTCACACATATATGCTAGTCATTCCCGACTCGAGGGGTGGTGCTCATCTCCGTTTCAAAGCCGAAGAGCCAGCGCTGTCCGAAGACATCTCCGTGGTCACGTGGCCAGCATGACTAAATGCTGAAGGCACACGGAACACCGTTATCTTCCCACCAAAGGTGGTTCCTATTTTTTCGACTTACATTTTACATGCTTTTGAACTGCTATGTTGGCAGAAGCTGGGATAAGTTATCAGGAGCTCACTCCATTATGTGATGCTAGGGATTTGAACCACCAAATTGCTGACCTTTCTGATCGACAAGCTCAGCGTCTTAGCCACTGAGCCACTACAATGTATAGCTGTGGTTAATACTTTCCATGTATATCAATATATAAACCTTATAGTATTTGGAGATTTTCCCACATAAATATATGAGTCATTGTGGTCATTAGGGTTCAGATAATTGATTTAGGAATTTTCTAGTCTTTTCATAGGCATGGAAGCTGGTTGCGTAATTTTGGGCCAGCTATGCTTTCTCTTCTGACTGGAAAATTGAAAAACAATCTATTAATGTGCTGAACTAAGAGGCCTTCATCCTTCAGTAGACTGAGAGAAAGAGATCCTCAGTGCAGCACTAAAACTAGAATGCTTAATTAACAGATCACTCAGAAAAGTTCAAATTATGTTGCAAAATCAGGTTGTTTTGCATATTGTCTTGCAAGACTCTTGCTTTTTCATATGACAATTGAAGGCAGTTTTATAATACAAGGTCCTAACAAAAAATATGGTTTGATTAGTCAGATTTCCATTCTGACCAATGGAATATTTAAAAGTTTTGCATTTCTATTATATATGAATATCCTCAATAGAGATGCAACTAAGTACAGTAAATCTTTCTTTCTCTAAGATCCATGTTCAGTTTACTTTGGATATCATTCTCTATTTCTCTTTCCCTTTTCCTTAAGATATAGAGTTAGTATGCTTGCTTGCTTGCTAGCTAATTAGCAAGCTTGTTTGTTAGATTGATCTAGGCTTTCAATGATTGTGGGATGAACGTAAACTTCTAAGCTCTGAAGAAATGGATATGGTATCTACCATATGTAGTCTGAATCCCTAGCATTAATGGTAAGTAAAAGTTACCAGATAACTGATTTGGGGCTGGGTTGTGTCACTGAAACAGCATTGCCAAAAAGGCATTAAGAGTTGTTAACCTAATCTTGCGAAGCTTCTTCTCCGGTAATATTGTACTGCAAACCAGAGCATAAAAAAGCTTTGGTAGACCAATCCTCGAATATAGCTCGTCTGTCTGGAATCCGCACAGTATATTGGATATTAACACAATTGAGCGAGTCCAGAGGTATTTCACTCCACTCCTCTACTTGCAACAGAATACCTTATGCCACCAAGCTTGAAAAGTATCTGCTACAACGTCCTGTCAACGACTACTTCAGCTTCAACCGCAATAATACATGAGCACACAATAAATACAAACTCAAGGTAAACCGCACCAAACTCGATTGCAGAAAATACGACTTCAGCAACAGAGTGGTCAATGCCTGGAATCCACTACCTGACTCTGTTGTTACATTCTCAAACTTCCATAACTTTAAGCTTAAACTGTCTACTGTTGACCTCACCCCATTCCTGAGAGATCAGTAGGGGCATCCATAATGCACCAGCATGCCTAACGTCCCTGTCCTAATGTCCCCATTTATTTGTACCCATTCCCGGTGTTCTTATTCATGTTTATTTTTATTCCTCTTGTACATGGGTGACAAACTAGATAAATAAATAAAATAAACAGTAATGGTAAATGAATATTTGCATTGGTTCTTTTCTTTCCTAAAGGATTAGTTTCATTCCTTTCCTTTGGTAGGAAAGAGATTGTTGTGTATGTGGGGAAGTCTTTTCATATAATACTGATTTTTACTGATGTGTCATAACCATTCTCAGGCTGCAAGGGCATTTCAAACATTATTCCACATATCAGATTTAAAT